CCTCTCCTGAATTTCCTCCTGAATTTCAGAACAAAGAAACAGCAACTGCTGGCTTGAGAGAAAGCTAAAAGCATCCCAAGCTGGGTTTGATTTTTTTATTTTGATCCTTCCTTTATAAGGTTGGTGGCTGGAAATTCTGATGGTCCTGCTCACCTTGTAGAGTGGGAGAAAGAAAGAAAGAAAGGAAGAAAGAAAGAAAGAAAGAAAGAAAGAAAGAAAGAAAGAAAGAAAGACAGACAGACAGACAGACAAGAGGGAGGGAGGGAGGAAGAATGAATGAATGAAGGAAGGAAGGAAGGAAGGAAGGAAGGAAGGAAGGAAGGAAGGAAGGAAGGAAGGAAGGAGAAAGAAAGAATTTAGGGCGGGAGAATATAGGAAAGAACGAAAAAAAGAAGGAAGATGAGAAGGAAGAAAGAATTTAGGGAGGGGGGAAGGAGAAAGAATATAGGAAGGAAGGAAGAAAGGAAGAAAGAAAGGAGGGAGGGAGAATATAGGAAGGAAGGAAGGAAAGAAGGAAGGAAGGAAGATGAGAAGGAAGGAAGAATTTAGGGAGGGAGGGAGGGAGAAAGAATATAGGAAGGAAGAAAGGAAGAAGAAAGAAAGAGGGAGGGAGAAAAAATATAGGAAGGAACGAAGGAAGAAAAAAGAAGAGAGGGAGAATATAGGAAGGAAGGAAAGAAGGAAGAAGGAAGGAAGGAAGAATTTGGGAAGGGAGAAAGAATATTGGAAGGAAGGAAGCAAAGGAAAGAAAGAAAACAAAACTGCAGATTGTTTGTACCCAGCAATAAGATTTATCTTATTGTCTAATGATAAAGTCTAAAAAATAATTGGATGTGGGCTAATGTGCCATTGTTTTTTACAATGATGCAAGGCTCTTAATTGGCTTTGATGCAAAAGGCACGGCTGCCTTTATGGAAAGTTGCTATCTCACCACTTTAGCTTGACCACAACCCCTTTGTAAGGTGCGGGGAGGGGGGGAGAGAAGAGGCAGGGGAGGAGCAATGATTGGACACTTCCTCCGTCTTTTTGGCTGCCTTCTCCATAAAGCCAGACTCGCTCCATCCGAAGCAGAGCCCTGGATGCATTCAACAAGCTTCCCAGCCCAGCTCTGATTCCAGCCAACATCTGTCAACATGGAGACATCTTTGGTCATCTGCCTTCTGACAGCTTCCATTACTCTGGGTGAGTACCTTCGTTGGGGAGGATTTATGATTGAAGGGGTCTTTTTCTGGACGATGGGTTCCAATCCTTCCAATCGTGCCTGAGAGGGGAGGAAGGAGTAGCCAATGCTTATTAAATTGATTTCAAGTATCTCTCCCCCCCTCCTTTTAAGCTGATCACCTCTTCATAAAATAGGCGGTGGCCTTCAGTGGCAACATGTTGGAAACAGGACTACCTCTGCCGTTAAAGAAGGCTGGAGGGATTTGCTTCAGTCAGTGCTACGTGGGTCTCTCAAACTGTATGTCGCCTACGTGGGAACACAAGACTTGTGTCCTTCTTCATATGCGGGCAGAGGTTCGGGGGCTCAGCAAACTGTTGAGGTTGGATCACAAGCATTCACAACTATCGCTGGAGGCATGGGAATCTGTGGGTTATGGGCTGCTGGATACTTGACAAGGGTTTGGGCAAAAACACCCCCACCTCAACTCAAGAAGCAAACATGGCAATTCTCATTTCCAGCTTTATTTTTTCATGTTCTACTAGCTGAATAACCTGGTGTTGCCCAGGTATTTATTTATGCTACTCCTGCATTAGACGGGAAAAGGAATGGATTATATCTATAGTGTCAAGTCAAAGTAATGCTGGAACACACACACACACACACACACACACACACACACACACGGACGAACTTTAATCCGAAAGGCACACTATCACTGTCAAAAGTATTGTGATTTGACACTATAGATATAATTCATTCCTTTTCATTTTAGCGGCCCAGACGTTCCAGAGTTATGCTGGGACACGCACACACAAACACATGCACTCCCCCTTGAGGGATGTTAGTGTGGTGTCTTACCCCACAGTATTTGTTTCCAGAGAGTAAGTCATCTGTGTATCAAGTTTGGTTGAATTTTTTCAGCGGCCCCGGGTGTTCCAGAGTTATGCTGGAACACACACACACACACACACACACACACACACACACACACACACACACACACTGATTTTAGTGTAATTTCTTCATTGGGAGCCACCCAGCATTGTGGAGAGACAGGCAGCATTCAAGTTTAATCAATCAATCAATCAATTATTATTATTATTGTTGTTGTTGTTGTTGTTGTTATTATTATTATGTTAATCTTTGATGAGATTCACAGCCTTTGGGGCTGGTTGGTAGCTCAACGGCTCGAGTCCTAGGAACTGTTCACAGGGCTGGTCACATTGTGAAGCAGAAGTTCAAACAGGATTTGGCATTTTTATCCATCTATCAAGTTCTTTCAACGGCCTAGATTGTTGTTGTTGTTGTTGTTATGATTAGTCACGTTGTCAGACAGATTATTACCAGTATCATTTAACTTTGGCAAAGAAAGGAAACAGAAAGGAGAGGAAAGGAGAAAAGAGAAAGGAAAGGAAAATGAGTCTTTCTTTTTTTAACTCTTGTTTTCTTCAGTTTTTGCAAAGTCTCGGGAATGTATCGTTTGTCAATCAATTGGAAAGGACTGCCAAGGGGATAAGAAAGAGTGCTCTGCTCCGGGAGACAAATGTGGCATCACTTCGATGGAACAGATTTTGGGTAGGTACAAATTCAGCGTGCAGCCAATCAACATTATTCTGAAGGGTCTCTTCTATGGACTGGGCTGATTTTATCCTGCAGGTTAAAGCATATGCGGAATCAATGACGTGGTTTCATTATTGGGCTTCACGGCTTTAAGAAAGAAGATCTCTCTCCCTCTCTCTCTCTCTCCCTCCCTCCCTCCCTCCCTCTCTCTCCCTCTCTCCCCTCTCTCTGTTTCTGTCTTTGTCTCCCTCTTTCTCTGTGGGTGGGTCTGTCTCTCTGTCTCTCTCAGTCTCCCTCTTTCTCTGTCTGTCTGTCTCTCCCCCCCTCTCTCTGTTTCTGTCTTTGTTTCTCTTTCTCTGTGGGTGGGTCTGTCTCTCTGTCTCCCTTTCTCTCTGCCTATCTCTCTCTCTGTCTCTGTCTGTCTCTGTCTGTCTCTCGGTCTCTCTGTCTCTCTCCCTCCTTCTCTGCTTCTGTCTTTGTCATTATTGGGCTTCAAGGCTTTAAGAAAGAAGATCTCTCTCCCTCTCTCTCTCTCTCCCTCCCTCCCTCCCTCCCTCCCTCCCTCTCTCTCCCTCTCTCCCCTCTCTCTGTTTCTGTCTTTGTCTCCCTCTTTCTCTGTGGGTGGGTCTGTCTCTCTGTCTCTCTCAGTCTCCCTCTCTCTCTGCCTATCTCTCTCTCGGTCTCTGTCTGTCTGTCTGTGTCTGTCTGTCTGTCTCTTTCTCTCTCTGTCTCCTCCTCTCTCTGTTTCTGTCTTTGTCTCTCTCTTTCTCTGTAGGTGGGTCTGTCTCTCTGTCTCTCTCAGTCCCCCCCTCTCTCTGCCTCTCTCTCTCTCTCTCTCTCTCTCTCTCTGTCTGTCTTTCTCTCTTTCTCTCTCTCCCTTTCCCTGTCAATTAGAATCCTAAACTGCTCTTTGCTGAGATGGATAGAAACAGTAAAGACTGCTCAAATGTACTTCAAACACCATACGTGCTTTTCTAGATTCATGTGATGCCTTTTCTCGGGAGTGTGTCTGTGTGTCTTTGTGTGTGAAGCAGAGCCTCTCACACACACACACACACCACCAGCATCCTGGGTGATAGTCGCTTCCCTCAATTGCTGATTTCCTTCCTCGATTGGCTAATCTAATCTGGAGAGCAGGGAAGGGAAAAACAGAGAGACAACTCCTTTGTTTATTATCTTGTTCATTTATTACCCCAGTTTTATTGCCTTTATAATTAACTCAAGGCAGGGGAATTTTTTCCAGTGCTGTTGTTGTAACTTCAAATGGTACCTAAACAAAGAATTGAAAACTAGGGACCAGCTGCTTTGTAGGTCCTAGAACAGGGGTGTCAAACTCAAGGCCCGTGGGCTTGAACTGGCCCTCAGGTGACTTAGATCTGGCCTACGGGGCGGTGCTGGAAAGAGCAAAGGACTGGCTCTCAGTGTCTCTGCCTCTGTGTGCAGCTCAGTTTTTGCTGGCGGGGGGCTATCAAAAGAAACGAAAAACAAAACAAAAGGAGAAACATTCCCCCTTTTGTATTTGAGCCATCCAAGAAGGACAGGAAAGGAGGAAGGGGAAGAGGAAAGACAAAGAAAAAGGAAAGAGAGCAAGGAAGGGAAAATAAGGGAAGAGCAGAAGAAAGAAGAAAAATAAGAAAATAAGGAAAGAGGTGAAGGAAAAAGAAGAGAAGGAAGGAAGGAAAGAAGGAGATTATAATGAGAGTGATGGGGAGGTCTCAGGGAAGCTTGGCCTTAGCACTTGGCCATCAGAGCAGAGGTGAGTTGCTGCTGGTTCCTCCCTAGATTGGGTGAACCGGTAGAGGTGGTGGCTCCGCCCACCCACATACGCAGAAGTGTCGTGCAATTGCATGAGTGCAAGCATGCGCACGAGCGAACCAGTAGTAAGATAAATTGCAACCTACCACTGCACCATAGGTGCCCGCCACATTCATTTCATTTCATTTATTAAATTTATAGGCCGTCCAATCCCGGGGGACTCCAGGCGGCTTACAACGAAAGAAGAAAAAAAGAAAAGCAAAATAAATAAATAAATAATTAAAAATTCACAACACACATACACTCTGATCGAGGCTGGATCTTAACACTAAGGTCAACAGCCCCATGCCTGCCGGAACAGCCAGGTTTTAACGGCTTTCCTGAAGGCCATGAGAGTGGGTAAGGTCCGGACCTCTGGGGGTAGTTGATTCCACAGGGTCGAAGCAGCCACAGAGAAGACCCTTCTCTGGGGGACCGCCAGCCGACACTGTCCAGATGACGGTATCCGAAGGAGGCCCACCCTGTGGGATCTTATCGGCCGTAGGGAGGTGTGTGGCAGTAGGCGATCTTGTAGATAGGCTGGTCCTAAGCCATGTAGGGCTTTAAAGGTAATAACCAACACCTTGAATTGCGTTTGGAGACCAATTGGCAGCCAGTGCAGCTCGCGGAGGACAGGTGTAACATGGGTGTATCTCGGTACACCCAATATCGCTCGCACGGCTGCATTCTGGACTAGCTGTAGTCTCCGAATGCTTTTCAAGGGTAGCCCCATGTAGAGCGCATCTCATGCCCACATGGCCACACCTACCATGCCCCCCCCACCCCCAGCCATGCGCCTCCCCAGCCCTCCGAGGTCAAACACAACCCTGATGTGGCCCTCAATGAAATCAAGTTTGACTCCCCTGTTCTAGGGCATGAATCAAGTAACTCATGAGGATAATTAACCGGTGGAGTGGCTTCCCTTCAGAAGCTGCGGGTGCCCCACCACTGGAGGCTTTTAAAGAAGAAACTGGGCACCCGCATTTCTCAATTTGTGTAGGGTCTCCTGCTTGAGGAGGGGGTTGGACTAGAAGGCCTCCAAGGTCCTTTCTAGTTCTATTCTGATGGATGTTCCGACTTCTCTGGAGGCTAGCAGATGGTGGAAGATTGGGGCAGAAGCCTTGGGACCTTGGAGAAGCACTGGGAATGCTGAAGGTTCGTGCTTATGAGGTTTTGATCCGCCATTCACAGAGATACTGAGCAATTCACTATTTCAGACACCAACTCTCTCTCTCTTTTTTGGGATCCCTACAGGGTCAACCAGCAACGCCGTGAATAAGAGCTGCATCCCTCCAAAGGACTGTGACAAGGGCTTGGCTGTTCTGGACTTGGGCAACAACCAGCTCATCAGAGGCTTCGTTTTCTGCTGCAAGGACGATCAATGCACCAACCCTCCCAGCTGTATGCTTTGGGGGCTCTCCTTTTCTCTGATTCTTTGCCATTCTTTCCCTGCCCCCCCCCCATTTTCCACACCTAAAGAAAAATCTCCTGCATGGGATCCTACCTCATTTGTATGTGTGTGTGTGTGGGGGGGGGGGCATTTCAGTGAGATGTACAGTAGCACGATGGTCCCAGGCAGGCCCACTCTCTAGGACACATGAGCCGAAAGTGGCAGGCGGAGCCATCTCTCCAGGCATCCACGTCATCGTCCGTTGCTCTTCCAGGTTCCAGTGTGCCAGCCAGCTGGTCTTCACCTGCACGAGAGCACTGGAAACTGGGAGATCAGCCACCTGGTGCACATGCTGATCTTCTGGTCTCTGGCACATGTATTTGCACTGGCCAGCTGGTCTTTACGCATGCATGCACACCAGAAACCAGAAGACCAAATGGCCAATGCGCTTGCCAGAAGCCGGAAGACCATCTTCCCGGCATGTGCATGCACCCCGGGTAGTTCCTCTCCCAGTTTCTGTTTGCATGCACTCACTCAGGCTCCCATTTTGGTACTCGGCGCCGAAAAGGTTCACCAACATTGATCTAGGACAAGACCATTAGAAATTCTTCAAAATTCCAGGCGGAGGCTCCACCTGATATTTCCATACTGATTCTCATTCCCTACAATGTCAGGACTCAGTATCCATTCTAGTAAAAGGGACTTGACTTTATTCAGTGGAGCATGTTAAAAGCCTTGGGTAGGCATGGGGTGATTGTTGGCGCAGTGGTTGGAAGGCAGCACTGCAGGCAAGCTCTGCCTACTGCCAGGAGTTCGATCCTGACCAGCTCAAGGTTGACTCAGCCTTCCATCCTTCCGAGTTCAGTCAAATGAGGACTCGGATTGTTGGGGGCAAGTGGCTGATTCTGCAACTTCTTGCTTTAATCTCACTAGTAGTTCAAATATTATGGATCTCCCAGATAACGCGGCAAAGTAGTCAGATTGTGTTTCAATAAAGGGGCGGCGGGGGCGTCAACTGATCAGTTGCTTGATAGTGTCGATAGGAATTGAGAAACAGGTCCTTGGTGCTCTCTGAGCTTGGTGGTTTTCTTGCAGACGCTTCACTACCAAACGAGGTAGCCCTGATGATGTTACCTAGTTTGGTAATGAAACGTCTGCAAGAAAAAAGCCACCAGGCTCAGAGAACACCAAGGACCCCACAGCTCAACCCTGAATCACAATTATTCTCTTCTATCAGAGCTGAGAAAGTTGCCAAGCGAGGAACGTGCTGAATTTCTGAATTCCCCATCCTTATTCTGAGCTCATCCCAAGCTCCTTTATTATTCTTTGAACGTAAATCCCCTCCTTCTTTCCTGCAGGGCCCTCCAGAAAAATTGTAACTACCAACAACAAGAGATGCCCGGCTTGCTACACACAGCCAAAGGAACAGAGTGGATGCGAGGCGAAGGTGATTAATTGTACCGGAGAGGATGAGACATATTGTGCAGAAGTCTTTCTTCAGAAGAAAGAAGGTAAAAACGATAGATCAGGGGTGAAGTTCAGCAGGTTCTGGAAGGTTCTGGAGAACCGGTAGCAGAAATTCTGAGTAGTTTGGAGAACCAGCAAATATCACCTTTGGCTGGCCCCAGAGTGGGGTGGGCTGGAGATTTTGCAATATCCCTCCCCCAGGAGTGGGTAGGGAATGGAGATTTTACAGTATCCTTCCCCTGGAGTGGTTCAGCCATTAGCTAAACAAACAGTGTGGGTTCAAATATGCTACGTCGCCAAATTGCCAACCCAGTGCAAACTTAATCTCCTAAACAATTCAGCCACAACTGTGCTTGGCCTATACCATAGAAGTAGTCCTTGACTTACAATTGGTTGCTTAATAACCATGCGAAGTTCTGATGGACCTCCCCAGAGCTACGTATGACTCAGTTTGGAAGGTTCTGGTGGAACGAGCTACCAACAGAGATCCGGACCCTTCCCACCCTTGCGGCCTTCCAAAAAGCCACCAAGACCTGGCTGTTCCGGCAGGCCTGGGGTGGCTGATTCAAATCAGGTTCAACCCCCCCAATTAAACCGGATGTATGTTGTGTTTTTAATACTGTTTGTATTGTTTGTATTCTCCCCCCTGTGTGTTATTTTATTTCATTCGTATT